GTACAGATTCTGCAGAGAGAGGGATACATATTTTACGAAGGATAATTCTCTCTGGACTTTAGAGTTAAGCTGTTGCAGCAAAATCACTCCGTTTAGACTAATTTTTCTATACAAATCTCAAGAAAAATCTATTCCAAGTATGTTTTGTAGTATTATCTCCACATGACCAGAGGAGGGCACTTTGAACATCTTTGCACTGCCCAGGAGGCAGATGCAGAAGCACAGTGTTACCCAATGTTGTGCAGTCCTGCCACCTCTTCCCACTCAGGCAGGTATCCTTGTGTCCACAAAAATACAGAATCCGTATGGTACCACAGGGCTCTGTTCCGAAAACAGTGGGCAGATGCATCACTCTCCTCTTGCTAGCTAGGATTTCTTCCCATTTCCCCCATTTAATTTAGTGTCGCTGCAGGTTAAATTGAGATTAATGGATAATTCCTAAAAATCACGTGAGGGGAGTTGTCTCTCTCTCCTTCCCGAACATCCCTCTGCTACGGATAATTCCTAAAAATCACGTGAGGGGAGATGTCTCTCTCTCTCCTTCCCGAACATCCCTCTGCTATTAGCCCCTGGTAATTTAGCAAATATTGATTGATTTAACCCTCTATGACTTGTCCTGCTTCAGAAATTCCTTGCCTTTAACTGTAAAATGCACTTGGAAAATGCACTCTCTGAGATATGTATTGCGACAGTGCACCTTTTCACATCAAGCTCTTGTAAAAGTACTGCTCCTTTCCACCTGCGTCCCAGATCTGCTCCCCGGCAGAGTACATAGCGGAGAAATCAATCTCTTCTCTTTTCCGTTCATGACCACAGTGTGGAGTTCAGCCACTTTCCATGCAGGAAACATCCCTTTGGGTTTCATTTTGGCTAAAGGTATCGACCTTCTATGGAAAAGATTTTAATTTTGCAATCCTACTGTTGTCATAGATTTCTTTTGTCACCTCTCTGCTGTGTTTTGTTCAAGTTTAATGTTGAAAAAATATTAGAAAGGATTTAGAAACTTTTTTTTTTTTAATAGAAGTCTCTCCTTCACCCTGGGGAAACACACTGCTTATTTAATGTACTTTTTGTTCCTCAACATTATTCCTTTTCTCTTTTCTTTTCTTCGCTTTTCTTCTCTTTTTTTCCTTCCTTTTCTGTTTTCTTTTTTGTCTTTTCTCCTTTCTTTTCCAGAGCAGACAGGTACAAGAAGTAAGTTGTCTTTCATCAGCAGTCCTTTGAGATAGAGTAGAATTCAGTGAGTCCTCACCATGATAGGATCATAAACTTACTGGGTTAAACCAAGCTAACTTTCCCTAAGCTGCCAAGTTTTAGCTGCACCGTACATATATGTGTTTCCTTGTGCCATTTTCTTTTCTTACAATTTTGTTTTTCTTGATGACCCTGAGCTATGGCTTCTGTCTCGTTCCTACCACTAGTCAACTTTCCTTTCTTTTCTGGTTTTGCCAATATAGGCCTCAAAGAAGAAATGGCAGAAGAGCACAAAGTAGCTGAGGTACATGAGAGAGGACCAGATGATGTTCTGCACGTGGGAATGGCACTGGCCCTGCTGCATCCAGGAGAAGACCAGGTAATTGATCACGCAACCGATCAACATCTGAGTGATCTGCGACAAGGTGATGAACATGGCAAACTTGCGTGAGACTCTGAAGCCAGCAGCCCGCAAGGCATAGTAAGAGTACATAACGGCGTGAACTCCATAGTTCATGGTCATGAACCAGCCACCGCCAGCCACCATGTCCTTGTAGGAATACCAAGAGTAAAGTAACACAGTAATGTGATGGTACCAGTGTAAGAAGATGAGCTTCTGTTTCCTAAGAATAATGAATATTGTATCACCTGTAACAAAACAAAACAAAAAAAAAAGGAAAAAAAAAAAGGAGGGGAGGAAATGAGAAACATATTGAACAATTCCATAATTACTGCAATGCTCTCTTCCCTTTGCTGTTGCTGGAGTATACACTCTTTTGAAGCATGAAAAACCGTCTCAGCTCTAGATCTGAGAGCCTGTCTGATCTGAGAGCCAGCTTGGTTCTTAATCTCTATGCAATCACAACCAACGTATCCACATTTTCCCGTGTGGATAACCTGTTTGAAAACTCCATGGGTTTACTTGGTAGCCCTTTTCTGCAAACATAATCCGTGAAGGTCTGAGGTGAGGTGGGTGGATGTACGTGTATCATCTCTGACTGATGTGAGACTGTCCATTGCATACTGTGACTAGAAGAGAAATAGAGCTCAAGAGAGAGAAGAAAACCTGAAGAGGAAGCAGCACAGTGTCCTCCAACTCAAATGCCTGCCTGCAAACTGAATCCAGTTAAACTCAGAAGAGCCTTTTGAGCTACTGTGAAAAAAGCTATTGCATATGCAACCTACAATATGGAAAGGTCTGGAATTGCCAAAAAAAAAAATTGCTTGTAGAAATAAATTTGGTTTATGTTGAAACACATACCCTTTTCTGCAAATTCAAGTTGCTGTTGTAGAAAAGTAAATTTTATTCCTATTTCCTGCTTTTTTTCTTCCTTCTGCTTCTCATAATTGCACTGAGCATTTCAATTAGATACATGTATATATGTATGCTACTCGTTTCCTACTGTTATAGACACAGTGTTTCCAAAAAGATCCCTGAGATTTGAATGTGGGGACTTAACTTCTATGTATAGGTATCCTAGGAAATCCAAATCATGAATATTAGTGATGGCTGGAACCAAAAGTGCACTGTCTGCACTAGGTCTGTAATAAGCCTTAATGCTACTGCTTACTTCATTAGCTGCAAGATGTTGACTCACATTTTAATAAGTAATCATATGTTCAATTTATTGTTGCTGTGCAGTTCTAGCTGATGTTTTCCAGTTTTCACAACTACATTTCTGTGGTTTTGCAGTAATTTAAGCAGCAGGAAACCAAGGGATTCTGACACAGCAAGGCAACTGGTGTCTGTCTCTTTCCTGTTTTTATGCTGATGAATTGCTGTCTTGTAATTTGCTGAATCAAATTCTCTGCTGAACGGTAAAGACTTATTTTTGCTGTACACCTGAACACAGTGAGTGCTGCAGCCCTTTGAGGTTTGGTAAAGGCATCCTCTGAAATGAAAGCTGGAGGGCTGCTAAATCACTGCCTCCTCCTTCCCACTAAAACAATCCTTTCTTACACTAATAAGCCAGGTGACGAGAAGACATCCAGACCAGCTATTAAGTTGGCTTTGGCATGTCTATCGTAAGTATCCTCGCTGAAAAAAATTGCTGGAGAGACAGGAGTTTATAAGAATCAGGACTGGAAAAGCCAGGATATTATGGGAAATTGGTTTCTATTTGGAGGAAGCAGCCAGCCACGACTTTCAGTGTTTAGGGAGGAAGCACTGTATGCTCACATGTGTATTTAAGGACGAATGCTGCAGAATAGAGGCAGAATTTGACTCAAAGCTTCTCGCTGACAGAGCTGCTGTAGCCCACCCTTCACTTCTGTACCCACGGAGTGAGTGACTGTCGATTACGCTACTCGTGTTTGCCTATGAGTAGCTACGGAAGAGGTATGGGCAGGATTACTCTTACCTCTTGACTGCCCTGCTGCGTAAAATCACTGCAGTTTACTCCTGGGCTAAGAATAGTCTTCCTCAACTGCACATTGCTCTAACTTCGGCCAAGCTGGACTTAATCTCTAGAGACTAAAACACGCAGAGTTCGGGGTGGATTTTGTTCACTCAGTTTTTGTAAGACAAAAACGAGGTTTCGACAGCACTGGGACCCTTCTTGTGCTTTCTGCACAGACATACCTGCTCTAAACACGCACAGTGAGAAAAAGGGAGAGAGGATGGGTACTCACCTAGTTCAGGTGCTTTGCTTAGCACAAATGCATATGCCCAGAATTTGCTGACAGGTCCGATGTAAAAACTCTGGTCACACACTGACTGCTTCAGGCCTTTGGTCATCAAAATGTACAGCATATAAGCACCAGTTCGAACAGCACCGAATATACTTTAAAACAAAGAGAAAATGGAGAAAGTTGAGTAGACACTTGAAATCTACATGCCAGCACTTCAAATCATTACGAGAAAAAGTTCATAAATGTGCTGAAATAGTAAGTTTGAGACAGCCTTAAAGCTGGAGCAACTCTGCTGCCTTCTGGGGAGTTATTCTGAACTCAGAATTGGACTGCAGTCGTAACCCCTTGTGAAAGTCTGGAACAGTAACGTCAGTGGTTTTTATTTCATTACTACAGGAATTATCCTTCAGTTTTCAGGAGCAGTGGGAGACATCTACCTCAGCTGAAAACAACATGCAGAGTTTTGATGCCAACGGCTGGAAGACTACAAGAAATGAGTTGATAAAGAGCTGTCATCAACATAACCAGGACCAACTCCCTTTTCTGATTTCCTCAGAGTTTTCTCTTGTCTCTCCCTGTGCTCATTACACCCACAGGAGCTCTGAGCAGAGAGAAACCCAGGCAGGGTACACAGATTTTGGTGGAGGGTCTCAGTCAGGGCTGGTGTGTTGGTGCACATGCTGACTTCATACTTCATCTCTTAACAGGTCATTGCTAACAGAGGACTCGACTAGTTGAATCTAGTAAACAGAAGATTCACCCTCATCAAAGTGAGATGCAAGGTAACAGTGTTCTGTAAATGACAAACATCAAGAGATTTGCAATGGTATTAATTAGTGCATGCAATTACAAAGGGGATAGGTTCAGACAACAAAAGACATCCAGCTGACGTAAGGAACAAAGCGTCTCAGCAGCAAGGCGCTCTGCAGAAGGAATTGCCTCACTGTTTTATGGCAAGAACATGCTTGCCCATTGTCTACCATTGTAGCTCGTTGTCCCTTCTAAAGCTGTGATGAACACTGGGTGAAACAAGCAGCTTTCAGAAAAATGGACCAAATAAAGACCCAATCTCCTCTGGAGTCGAGTATATCTTACTTTATGCCTACCTCATATGTCCCTGTGCCTCCACTCAGCTCCACCTTATCTCCCTTCCAACTTCTTTGTGCCCCTGTCCTACTCACAAGTCCTCTGGTTCCTGCTCTGCCTCAGTGTCTTCCATGACTATTGCACAGCAGTAAGCAAACCAAGCCACCTAAAATTGATGTGTAGACACATGTGGGCAAGGCAAGCTACCATTTATGCAAAGTCTGTGAAACAAGGAGGAGTTCATCTGAAGTTGTAGATTCTCCTCACCTGTCCTTGTCTTGTGAAGTCACTATTCTTTAAAAAACATGTTTTAAAATCATCCAGGCAACCTCAAAAGTTGAGGTCTATGGCAGTTCTTATGCCACTTGGTCAGGCTACATGTGACCTTATGGCACGTGGCAGGCTTCAAGTAAGCCTGCCAAGCATAAAAACTGTTGAGGTAAGTTTTTATGTTTTTTGCACAAGGTACTGAGATTTCCAAATCCGCAGCATTGACACACCCAGTCAAATCTGCCTGCTGCTAAGGAGCAATGGACCTTGCTCTCCCCTGACCACTGCATGCACTCTGCAACCCAGTGGAGTACGTTCTGCCTGGCGCTCTTCAGGCTCTCTCGGTAGCATCACATGTGGGACTCAACAACCAGGTCACGCCTGGGGAGGAGTGTTACGTCCTGGCTCCTGCACTGTCACACTTCAATGCATGAGGTTTGATTGTGCCATCAGGAAATTCAGACAACAGTAAGCACTTAAGAAGCTACTATTATTATCTGCTGTTTGTACAGTGGTATTTGCTCATGGGCTCCGCTGCCAGATGAGTCCTCTTGTGCTATGTGCAAATAAAAAACCATTCTGCTGTGGTACAGGTTTACTGAAGGAGTTCGGCTGAGTCTGGGTTTCCCACCAGCACTGCCCAAACCAGCACACATCCTCCCAGGCTCAGGCAAGGCAGCTGTTGCAGTCTCTCACGTTCATCCACCCCTGCATGCAGAAGAGATGGTGCAGCACTCTTAGCATCTAGGCAGTCTGTACTGCATCCTCTCCGCACAGGTCGTTCCCTCCCAGAAACACTCTCTCAGCATGCTTCTCCCACGTCTTTTGGGGATCGGTCCTTTTAACTCGGCGGAAGAGTGCCAAAGCCTGCAAGAGGAGTTCTGAAACGAGGTGCAACTCGTCCTGTGTCTTCCCTCTGGTGTTTAACACGTGCCTTTTTTTTCTCAGCAGTTGCATGTCTCATTCCCAAGAGGACAGGAGATCCTGACAGAGATGTGATCCGATCGCTTTCTGAGGCAGTGAACTCTGCAAACTAGCCAGGACAGGCTCCTGCTTGCTCCTGTGTTTCGGGTGGTGGCAAAAATGGGTGGAGGAAGATCAGGCAGAATACCTAATGATATGCTGGTTCTCCCAGTAGCAAATATCTCAATGCTGACATTAAAATGGGGGAAAAAAAGGAAATTTTAAATTATGAAATCAAATAGCTGCAAGCAATATGCCTTTCCTTGTACAGAAGCTGTATTGCTTTTCTAAAATTTCATTCATTATTAAAGTTTTAAAACCAAAGAGAACTCTGTGCCATGAACACAACAAACTCAGATGAGAAGAGTGCTTGTTCGAGCAACTGGCAAAGGTTGACTTAACTGTAAGTGATTTGAGTATGGAGATCCAGAGATTTAATCTGGACTGATAACAGAGGCAAAGAGTATTTGTCCTGTGGGAATTACACAGCTTCACTTTGCTGTCCTTGAGATTAGAACGATATAATTCTTCCTTGTCTTTCTGTTTGGCAACTACTGCAGAGCTCTCCTTGGAGTGCACACACGTGTGCACACTCACACTCACACACTTACTTTTCTATAATTTTGTAGCACAGTAGCTTCCTCTAGTTCCAAGACTCCAGAAGAAGTGACTCCAGCTGCTGCTCTACATGGTGTGACTCAGAATAATCTGAATTTTTTATCAGTAAAAACCAAGTTACATTTTCGCATAATTCACAAGGGAAGGCTTTACAAAGGAGGAGGATGGCAAACTGGAAGCAACTGATTCAATTACCTAAATAGACACAATGAGCAGGTAGCTGTTGATGAGATGTGCTGCATGCCAAAACACTATCTTGCCAACAAGCACAAGCCACCAGAGACAGAAAAAAATCTAATGCACGCCTGCAGATGTGCCTTGGACCCAGAGAGCCTGGACTGCTTTTTGTGCCTCTGCCACTTAATCTTGTTTGTTCTGTAAGGTAAGATCAACCGACAAATTTCTATCTTGCAAAGACATGATGTGCAGCAGAGTGATGACATTGCTTGCTCAGTAAATCACTGCTGCTTCATTTTGTCCTCGCCCTGCTCTCTGCTGTAGCTTTTGTGAGGTATTGAAATGAACTGCTTACCAAAGCAGTCTGTCTGGTGGGAATCATCTGCAGGGATTTCAGAAATAAGGTAGCAGTGAATTACTGTACAATTACAGCCTTTTGCAACTAGAGAGACTGATCAGAAACAAACTGCACCAGCTAATGCAGCTTTCGCATCTATTTAGATTCAAAATGTCCTACATTCTCCTCCCTTCAGGCAGTGACTTCTCTGGTAGATTAACAAACGCCCAATTGATATTTTACTGTCCCTAATACAATCAGAATGTATCCATGAATAAAATAAAAGCTAACACTTTTCCTTCACAAACTCATTTTCAAATGAGGGCCTCAAAACACATCCCATGCATGGGATAACCACAGCAATGAGAAAGGGAAACTGAGGCCTGGGGAGCTAGCTGATGGGAAGACAAAGCAGGTGTTAGTGGCCAAAGCCTACAACTGCTTTCTGTTCCCTTCAGAACCAGAAGGTGAGTCAGTGCCCATTTTTCCTGGGGCTGCTTTCTATGCAGACCCATCACTGCACTTGGCTCCTGACACCTCTGGACATCCCAGTCCAGGATCAACACTGCAGAATCGAGCAGGGAATGTGACTTCCACATAAAAAAAAAAAATAATTCAAAGCTCAGCACAGAACATAGCAACATTTCCTAAAGGATTTTACTGCTGTGAAAATCAGAGTGGAAATTCCCTGCTCTGATTTGTGTCTTAAAAAAAAAAATTTAAATTAACCAAACGCACCATGCAAACTATCCACAGAAGTAGGTAAAGATGGCATTGAAGAGGATAACGGTCTTGACTACGGCTAAGGTGAGCGACCACAAAACACGTTCGGTAGGACCACACCGTGCTGGGCGCAGGCACCAGCAGAGAGCAGCAGGGAGCCTGCAGACAGCTGGACCTGGCTGTGCTGCACAAAATTCAGGGCTGGTGGGTGCTTCAGGCAGAGCCCTCCTTACCCAGGCTGCTGAACATGGGCTAAACCACAGGCACCAGGCTGGTTTAACCAGCCTCTGAGGTGCTGGACTGTCCTCTGCCATGGGTGAGCCGGCCATGCAGCCAGCTGGAGCTCCCATGGGTCCGGTTCCAGTTCCCAGCCTGGAGCCTGGCTGGAGGAGAGAATAAATCTTAATTCTGCCCCGACCTGGTTCCACGGCGACTCACAGGCATCCCAGGAGGTGAGTCAGTGCCCCAGGAGCACAGGGAGATGGCGGAGAGCACATGGTCCTCCTCAGAGAAAGTTACACCAAACGGAGGGTGGTCCTGGGTGAGCAGCCGAGGTGACCTTACATGCGGACTCACAGCCTCAGACTGCAGCCTGCTTGTACCATAACAGCAAGAAAATAGGGAAGATATTGGTTCTTCACTTGTGGGGTTTTTTTGTCTCTTTTTTTTTCATTTTAGCATGCAAAATATTTACAGAGGAAGCACTCTGAATTCGAAAGAAATGTTTAAAGGTCAGCAGGTGCGGAACACGGAGCTTCCTACACCTTCCTTCTTGACAAATCAAACTGCGTTCACCTTTCTGTCCTGTTCACCAGGAGTATTTCGGTGGTCATATCCTGTTTCCCTTCTGCTGCTGAAGAGCTGGTCTCTTAACACAATAAAATGGCCTTTCTGTGCCCTTCCGATTTAAAACCCACGGTCCTCAGAAAAGAGGAACGAGTTGTGGTGCAAATGATGTGGCACAGGGGCACGGGATGG